AGCTCTGAGGACCTAGCTCAGATCCAGCACCTCCCCCAGACAGAAGCTCTGAGGACCTAGCTCAGATCCAGCACCCCCCCCACAGAAGCTCTGAGGACCTAGCTCAGATCCAGCACCCCCGGAAGTGTGCATCCCAACAGAAAAAAAAAGAAAATTTTTTTTTTAAGTTTTTAAGATTCTTGTACCCAAATCTTTATAAAATAACGACTGTTTCCTTTCTAGAAATAAAATGCACGGATGCTTCGTGTGCTTCTCAGAACACTGCAGCTTGCTCGGCCGGAGCTGCCGCCAGTCCCAAGCGGGGCCAGCGGTCCCCCCAAGACTCCCCGACAGTGCACGTGCCGGCGTTTTCCGGAGTATCTTCCACCCAGAGGTGTGTGATAGAGTCCTGTCGCTTTCTTTTGTCTTTACTTTTTATTATTTAGGTTTAGTATCTCTTCAACTTTACTTCCTTCAAAAAAAAGTTTGCTTTCTGTCTTCTAGTTGCTGTCCGTGGAATGCTTGCCTGCCTGTCTGCCTGCCTGACTGCCTTCCTTCCTTCCTTCCCTCCTTCTTTCCTGCCTTCCACATGAAACGATTACCCTTCATAGTCAAGCTACCACATTTTGTCATTTGGGTTGGATCTACTTTCCTCACTTGATTTTGCTTTTGGTACTCTGTGAAGTCAAGACGGTTTATACTTGTACCTAGTTGCTGTCTTTTGTTTTTCTTCATCAGTAGCCGGGATGCGCTTCCTGACTCTCTCCTGAGCACGGGTAAATACTTGTGGGTAAATACTTGCATGCATCAACGCAGTTCCTCACAGATCAGGATAAAACACGTTTAACCCTTTGTGCGACTCACGGGAGTGAGTGAAATTCATGTCTCCCTACAAACAGTTACTGATAAATTTGGGGCCGTTGTTTTAAAATGCTTTATTTCGTTTCTCCCTTTTTCATTGCACTAGTTTTGTGTTTTCTTGGGTGTGTGTATCCGCCGAGTTTATAAGTTGCCTCAAATCTTCTGGATGTAGGTAAGGGACAGACAGAACTAGTTTCCTCCAGAATTCTACCTTTGTCCATCTTTTTGTCGTCTGAGCTGGACTAACCTGAAGCATGAAGTCGATGGCTCCCCCGTCCTGGGTGAGGAGTCAGCTCCCCCCACACTGAGAAGCTGGAGGAATGGGGCCAGGGTCTCCAGGACTGCGACTACCTGGCAATGAGCGCAGATGACAAGACATGCCCTCCTCCTCCTGGCCCTGGCCGGACTGCGGCTCTGCAGCGCACTCTGAGTGCAGAGGGGCGTGTGTCCAGCGGCCCAGCGAGCCCCTCCGTCCTGCCGTGGGGCCGGGGCTGGATGCTGGGTGCCTTGCCCCCACCACCAGGCACCTGTCCACAGGGAGCGGGGAGCGGGGAGAAGGGAGGAGCGAGGAGGGAGGAGGGGCGACCAGAGGCCGGGACGCCAGCCTGAGCCCAGGCCTCCTTCCCGGGGCGGGCGGAGCCGGCCGAGGGCACGTCCAGCTCAGGCCTCTCAGGCTGAATCAGGAGTCTGGAATGGCAGGAAAGCCACTTCTGCCAGGCCTGGCCTGGCTGTTTCTCTCAGGGGACACAGGCAAAGCCAGGCAGTTCCAGTGCGGAGAAGCACGCATTTGGTGGGAGCAGGAATGCGGCAACCCATCCTGCGGGTCGCTGGGGCTGCCGCCCTTCCCTTCCCCTCCGGCACGCGCCACCTGGCCGGGTAGCAAACCCCATTTTTCTTGTGCCAATCTGGATGAGGTCTGTCGTAGCAAAGGTGGGACTGGTAAAGACAGCCGGGCTCTGGCGAGCCCCTGGGGTGAGTGGCCATTCTCTCGGACATCTCTCTTCCTTCTCTCTTCACACGCAGCTGGGCAGGATTACCACTGCTTTTTTATTTAAAAGACATCACTGACAGAACTGCTGGTCCCAAAAGTATTCAATCACCAGCCCAAATATAATCGGGCCAAACGTGCTGGACAGCCGTGGCTGGCGGCCAGCGCTCTGACTGTGCCCCTCTCTGTCCGTCCAGTCCGTCCAGTCGGGCTCTGCAGGGCTGTGCCCTCGCCCAAGACCACTGGGGCTTCGCGTCTTGAGCAGTTTATTCCACATTTGGGAAACTTGAAGCCCAGTACCTTCCACATTCCCATTGATCACTAAAGGTGTGAGTCTGGCTCCAGGTCACAGGCTTCACCTACACCAAAGAGCCACGCAACGCTGAGCTCAGTCCACTTATTCATTCTCCGGCTACAGATGTGGAAGTGTGGAAACACTGGGGCCTCCCATATCTGTAGCTCAGACCACAATGCCGGAAATGAAACTCAGTCTGAGTTAAGCTACAACATGGATGAGACTGAGTTAACCAATCTAACCTGCAAGATGGAACCGGAAGCCAATGGTAGGACTCAAGAGGAAGAAGACAGACCAGGGAATCACACAAAAGGAAGAGGAGAAGAGACAGGAAAACAGGAGAGGAGAGGAGAGCCATGCACAGGGGAGGAGGGGGAGAAGGCCCCGAGAGAGGGAAGACAGGCAAGGGAGAGGGAAGCCAGCACCACCCCGGCCGTCCTGAGAACAGCGTTTCCTCCCACTCTGATCACCACCCGAACCTGAAAGCCACATCGACGAGGAGAGAAGCCAGAGCAGGAAGATTCCCTGCTCAGCCGAGCGAGGGCAGCCCTGTGAGCCAGTCCACCGCCCGAGCACCTACGGACGCGGAGGATTGTGCCAAGCCTCCATTCGGATCAGACGTTTCCCCCGTGAACCGGCGCTGCACTGGGGGTCAGAAGAGCACAGAAGAGTACGGTGCACATAAACCCCTCCTTCTGCGAGACAACAGAATTCACAGTGGACCAGAGAGGTGGTCTGCAGGGGCGGCACAGCACCGGGCAAGCCCGGGTATGAAGAGCATTTCTCCCATTGGCCTCGGGTCCCTAGTTTGCGCTCGGCTCCGGGCAGGTGGTGGACACAAAACACTGGGACGCTGGAGGAGCGTGCCGCTGTCCTGTCCTGTGTCCCTGAGTCCAGACACTGATACATACTTCACAAAGCAGACCGCTGCATCAGACGGCCTGACAAGGGGGGGCAGAAATGGAGGGTACCCCCCACACTGTCATCAACTGAACACTCAAAGCTTCCACCAAGAGACCGGCGTGCAGAACACGTTCTCGTACGTGATTTCACCTTCTCTGAGGACGTACCTGATTGCTGCACGTCTTGTATCGGATATTCTGCCCTTCGCAATTCCTAGGGAAAGGAGGAAGAGAGAAACAATGACTCCGGGGAGTCAAGCAAAGCTTGGCGGCGGCTTCCGAGCTGAGTTCTACGGTGCTGACTCCCTGGAGGGGACAGCGGAGCAGACAGAGAATCCTTTTGCTGATTAATACCATAGCCCACAAGTGAATCATTCTCAGGCAACCCTTGTGCCAAGGCCCGGCGGCCACTGAGACTGAGGTAGTGTGTGTGCACGCCGAGAGGAAAGGGGTCATCGCCATTACTGTGACTGGGGAGGCCTCAGGGCTGGCGGGCAGGAGCAGGCTCCGGAGCTCCTTACCCCTACCAAGCCGGCGCCTCTCGCACACAGAGCACTGTGCCCCCAGACCACCCAGGCAAAGAAGGGCGTCTTTAGAGGGTTCAGAAGCACTTTCTCAGGAGCCGCACTGCTAGTAACACCATTTCAGCCGTCTAATTAAAAGCTATTTTAATAAATAAAAATCAAACAAAAAGGGAAGGAGAAGGCGTCGGCCCAGGGGAGGAGAAGGCGTCGGCCTGGGGGAGGAGAAGGCGTCGGTCCGAGGGGAGGAGAAGGCCTCAGCCCGAGGTGCCCCCGGGGCGGCTCAAGCCTGGTGGACGCCGGCACCTTGGGCTTTGCCCGCGTCGGCTGCCAGGAACCCACTGGCACCTGCTGCCTCTTCAGAATAGAGCCTAAAACTCTGAACCTAAGACCTAAGCCCATCACCCTTATACACCCCTGCAAGACACCACCCACCCCTGCAAGACACCACCCACCCCTGCAAGACACCACCCACCCCTGCAAATCACCACCCACCCCTGCAAGACACCACACACCCCTGCAAATCACCACCCACCCCTGCAAGACACCAC